CTCCAACCATTTACTCTTCTTCTCCATCTTCTTAGCGATGGTTTCGAGAGCTCGTTGTCGTCCGACCACTAAAGTGGAGCTCTCTTCGGAAGCGGACGAGTCTTCACCGAAACGGCCCAAAGATTTGGCGGTCGACTCGGTTTTGGTGCTCTTCTTGAATAACGAGATATTTGTGGCCAACTCTTTGGCGAGACTCGGGTTTTGGTTGACATCGGTGTGGAAGGCCTTCATGGCCTGGGACTCTATTTTCATCATTTCTATGTTGTATTTCTGGTCCTCTCTCTCCTGCTTTGATCCCTTCTTTTGCAACTAATCACTCAAAACATCAATCAATTAATGCTTTCATTCAATGCAAACACAATTGTCTCACGTCTTGTAGTTTTCGCTTCACATTCAACTGATGTCTGAAACCTCTTTCGTGAAACTCAACGCTCTGTCCATCAAATGAATGCAAAGAATATGTCATATAATAAGAGATCACTGAATGAATTGATGGCAAACTCACGGCTTTGTTGTCAGCGAACCAACACTTGCAGAAATCGCAGTACTTCTTGGGAAGTGATTTCCAGTACTCAGACCTTCAGACCAAACAAACTCATCACTCAATCAATGCATTCATTACACTGTAATTGAAACTTACATTTCTTGTTGTCTTTAATCCCAATACTAATCCAATGAATGATTACACAATCAAACGTTAACAGTGACTGTAATAACAAACCAAATGTTTTGCTTTCACTAAAAAACACAAATTGTTTTGAAAGCTTTATAGTTGGTAAATAAATTACGTTAATTTATAAATTTAATTTTATATATAATTTAATTGATTAGGAGCATATTTTGTAATGAAAAGTTAAACAAAACTATAGTCTAATCATAATTCACTAAATTTAGCACTTATTTGATGCTATAATTTACAAATAAACTTAAATTGAGTGTTGAATTAGTATTGAGACATAATTGATGAGCAAATATGTAACCAAACAGTGACTCAATTTGTTTGACGTTCACTGCAGTGAGTGATTGATTGGTGAGATTGTGGGACAAGAATGGGTCACATCTTCGGCAAACCTAAACCCAAGAAGAAGCCTGAGATCACTGAAGAGGACAAAGCGATTCTGGTTTGTTAGCAATCACTCCATTGGTGTGAATGTAGCCATAATGTGGTCACTCTCTTGACAGCAACTCAAACAACAAAGAGATTCCGTGAAGAAGTATCAGAAGAGGATTAAGGATGAGTTGGACAAAGAGAGACAAATCGCCCGACAGTTACTCAAAGACAACAAAAAAGAGTTGAG